CACCTCGTCATCACCACGTGCTCCTGACACCTCGTCATCACCACGTGCTCCTGACACCTCGTCATCACAACGTGCTTCTGACACCTCGTCATCACCACGTGCTCCTGACGCCTCGTCATCACCACGTGCCCTGGTCTCCCGGTTCGTCCCAGGACCACCATCATCGAGCAGGTCACGTGAGCCTATAATAAATACTGGCAATCTTTAATTTGTTGTCATTGTGTAAGGGAAGTATAAGAATCGGCGACAGGCCTATCCAGGCCTATTCTTCAATGCCGAACACAATATACTATACTACTATTAACCGACCAATCTCATATGGCCGCCCTAGTTAATTTCAACCTGTTCTTATTAGCATAACTCTTGTTACCCTGGCCTTGAAACCCCTGAGACCAAGTCTAACTCGAAACAATAATTAAATGTTGTCGGGTTCTAACCCCCACACCTGCACCAGCATAGTTTTGCGGTGCCCTGACCCATCGAGACTGGCGATAGCTGAGGCCCTCATTATCAGGAGCGAATATCCAGCTATCAACCTCCAAAGTACAGGATTCATTCTGGCACTGAAATTATTTTCTGAATGATTTTAATCAAGCTTTGATTTATAACTGCATCCGCAATACCCTTGATTTACGCCAATGTCATTTCCAAAAGTTCAATTTCAAATGTTGAAAAACCCTTCACTGTTCTGTGTACACGCAAACTTGTTGAAACGACAAATGTTTACTGAATATGATATTGATACCTTAATGAGAAATATTTATGTTCAATCATTTGGTATCAATTTATGCGCAGAAAGCGATATTGGATGCAAAATTTCACATGACAGGTAATCAGGTATTGAACGCATGCGGTGCGTTAGCAGCGGCGGCACCATAATCAACATTTTACAGTTCATTGTAAAATTCAGATGATGAAGTTCGTTTTATCAGTTATCGACGTCTGCGTGGGGACCTCATTGAAGTATACAAGTATGCTCATGGTTTATACAAGGTCCCCGAAGGATTACTAGAATTTGAAACAAGAACCAACACCAGGGGCCACGGCTATAAATAAAAAAACTGCGCTTCAACTTGTCCACGCGACAACATTTCTTTTCGCTTCGAATTACCGACATGTGGAACAGCCTCCCCGATGACATCGTTGGCGCTCCAAGTATGAACGCGTTCAAGAACAGACTAGATAAAGCTATGGAAAATATATGTTCAAATTTGAAATGCCTAGCACCATATCGAACCCTGTGGATGTCTAGTAGCTATTTCAAACTATCGTCAGTCATGAAAAGATCCGGTCAAATGACACAATTTTAGATCATCTAGAACACGAAACAAAAGACCACGGAACAACACAGAACACGAAATTTAGAACAAGGCACGAAAAGGAAAAGAATCTGCGACAGGCCACATCAGGCCTACACTTCAGCGCACAAATCACTATGTTATGTTATGTTACAGTCAATGTCAACGTATTTCGAGCATCTGTTGCATTTATTGCATGTAAAGTTTTTACCTGTGGGCTTAAAGAGACATATTTTGAGGTCAAGTTGCCATTTCATCATGGTCACGGCTTCTTTGCATGGCTCAAAATCACGGCTGCCTTGCATGGCTCAACTAAAAAACATGCATAGTTTAGACCTGCTTTGCTCTTCATTCTGGCCCGGAAAATTTGGCCACCTAACTGCTTGCTGTCGTAACTGACTCGGTCGCAGAAATCCATTATATCTGTGAGACTCTGCCAAGCCATTAAAATCAATTCATTGATTCTTACATTTTCATATTTGTCGAACACAACTCTATGCTTTCAATGCACTCTCATATATAATTTTCTAAAAATGACAGTAAAAGTAGTGCATAATTGAGTTCCATAACGATTTAATCGATTTCCAATACCTCAAACGTTATGAATGCACCTCCGTTTCAAGATGGGCAGGGTGGCGTAATGGTTCTAGGAGCTGTGAGGCGCGGGTTTGATCACAGCCAGAGCACCAGTTTCTGGTCAAAATCGGCGAGAAGGCCGGGCGGTTTAGCAAAGCGAAATTGGAGCAATGAGTTCCGTATTTGAGGCCGCAACAAGCTGTGGATGTTCTGCAATGTTAAGAATCAGCGACAGGCCTACGGCATAATAAACGCTGAAACCGTTATAATATGTAGAGACACTGTTTTGGAAATGTTCATCTGTTTTTCTCCGGGTAATAAACAATTCAGAATAATTTGATCAAATTTTTCAGAATAATTTCATGATCAAAATTATTTAGTTGAGATGCAGTAATGTGTGTGCTTTGTTGAAGGTGAAGAGATGACCTCAGAGATGCAGTAAGACCCTCACATTTGTTTTGGGCTACTCAGTGGATGCCTAGAATTGCCACTTGCGTTCAGAACGTAAAGTGGACTTGGCGCCACGCGCCAGTTGGCGGAATTATTGAATTGCCGCGGGCGAGCGAGACGCTACGATAGCGGGTAGTTGAACTTGATCTTGATGTACCTAGTCGTTATCGGCTTCGGACTTCGGAGGTTCGGATAAGTTGCAACTTGCAAGTCTCTGTCAATTATGTTAAAGTTTCCCCATTTCTAGTAGCTGAGGCCTAGGTAGCTTTGCGCCTTTGCCTGTAGCCCTAGGTTAATTTTGTTAATTGTTGAGACTCGACTCGACTAAAGTTTGAAATACCTAGGTACTTAAATCTCATTGTTGGTTCTAAGATTTATACACGAGTCGGAGTCTACTCGGAGACAGTGAGAGTAGCTTTCAAATTGAAATTATATCTAGGTACAAGGCCGTCTGGTGGGAAAATGTTGAGATCCAAAGATAGACAGTGCGCGTCACCCAGCGAGAACATCAAAAAATGTGTCAAAGTTGATAGTTGACCTTGCTCTACCAATTTCTCAAAACACCGCACTACGCACCACTCAGCCTCAGCGGCGCCAGCAACAATGAAACGTCACAAAATGTTGCCATATTTATTTAAAAGCCTTTAGAATGCAAACCTACCAAATCCATATATTCCGAATTTCCGACACTGTGTGTGACTAAATTCAGCATTTTGTGAGACTAATTTCGAATTCGGCCGCGCTTTAAACTCTACTAATTCGTAATTCTGACACTCTTGTGTTCAAATTCTGATTGCTGTGTGAGCTGTATTGGAATACAACACAGCTTGGCATTAGAACACTATTGAATATTGAACACTACTTATTTAGGCTTTCAATTAAGAGCTATTAAGCTTTTAATTAAGAAAATTTTAATTTTTGCTCACAGCTTGGAACGAATTGTCAGCTGTGTGTGTCTAATTCCAAGCTGTGTTGGAATTAGTTTTTATGTGTCTAAAACCATCTCTTAACTTAATCTAATATTTTTTTTACCACTTGAAAATTGAAATCAGCAAATACAAGCATACTTAGAAGATTCCTAATATATACACAGACTTATTTAAAAGTCTCGTACCAATTCTACACAAACAGTTAATCACTATTTGGTACTCAAAAAGTTTCACAGAAACCTACATCACATAGATTTCTATGAAATATTTTTGCAAAGTACACTGATGGACTTTGGAAGCACTATAGAGATTAGAGACAATATTCTGATGTATGTGTAGTTTGTTTAGGACTGCAGGACAATCTTAATCTGGTCAAATGGCACATTTGGCAGAACGCAGAAACAATCAGGCAGAGCTAGAGGCTTTGCAAGTTGCAACTTGCAAGCAGTGGCCAGTGGGCATTGAACCATGTACTTCTGCTAACATGTATTTTTGATCAGTCAATACCAGCAAAAATTTTTGTTTAATTCATAGGAAAAATGATAAGCAAATTATAACTTTATAAGAAACATTTTCTGGAGTCTGCTGTCTGGTCTTAAATCAAGCTTGCATATAGCCATTATAGGAAGAACTTCTAAAAACTTAATAGCAAAGAAAACACCACAAAAATTCATAGTATCTTTAAAGAAAACGTTTTGGAGTCCAGCTCCATGGTCAGTTCGAAAATTCTAGAACACAGATAAATCAGTGATTAGTACAGTCAAGAATACAACGAAAATCCTAAGCTGCAAAACCTACCTATTTACAATTTCAAGCGGGTAAGAGCTAAAAGCTAAATTCAAACTAGGCCTCTGTTTAAAAATATACAATGATTCTAAAATGCGCAAATCAGAAACACCGGAACTGGAAGCTAAAACTTTGAAGTCACTGTCAGACAC